TATGATAAAACAGGGGAATGCCAATTGGATATTTGAAAATATTTTGAAAGACTGTGAATTTTTAGATAGTTTAATAGTATTATGATTATATTAAAATAATCTCTCTATTTTGAAAATATACACTGAAGTATTTATTTATGAAATGATAAAATGTCTGGGCTTTTTTTTTTTTTAAATCTGGCAGAGGAGAGTCACTGAAGTTATGTACAAAACAAAATTGGCATTAAGTTGATAATTGTTGAAGCTGGCTTATATTTACAAGGGAATTTATTAAAATTTTATCAAATTTTATGTGTGTTTGGAAGTTTTGAATACATTTATAGAGTGAGAACAAAGATTTCAGTGAGGAAAAAGATTTCAGTGAAGAAGATATATAAAGATAAATAACACTTACTAAACAGTTATTATGTGGTCAGCACTATTTTTACCAGCTGTATATGTATTCTTAGATTCTCAAAATAGTCAAAAGATTTCCTCATTTAATAAATGAGATACTTGAAAACAGGGAGGTTAAATGGCTCGCTTGAGTTCAAACAACTAGCGAGTGACAGAGCAGGCTTTGACATGCCCCAGACAAGCACACCGTATAGACCCCTCACATACATGTAGAGGCTTGGTGAGGGAACCACGGAGACTGATAGGCGAAGACATTCAAGACAAGGTGCAATTGATGGAACAGGTTTCAAAGCAGGTAGGAGAGCATCATCTGGAACTCAGAGGCAGAGGATTAACTTTAAAAGAGATCTGAAGAAAGTCACTTAGTCACTTAGCCTTGCATAGCCTTGATTTCTACCTTTTTTCAAAAGAAAAACAGAATAAATATCTCACTTAAAGGACTGTTGTGAGGATTGGATACAAATTTTTAATTTCTGAAAACTTAGGATCACTAAGAAACTTTGAAATTAATAACCTCAACATATTAATATTTTTCATTATCAACTTTAAAAAATTAGGGGGACGATTTAAGAACTAATAGCTCTTGCTATGAAAAAATATTATCTATAGTTCAATATTTCTGCCAGCTTTATTCCAATTTATTATTTTTTAGCCTACTAATTCAAGTAAAATGACATTTAATATTTTATATAAAACTCTACTTGATTTAAATGGCTACTCTGAATTTTAATAAGTATCAATATGTTTTACTTTTGGTAACAATTTGGTCATGAATCACTTGTAGGCCTCAAAGTTCCACAAGCAAAGTTCAGATATTATAGCTGGAAATAAATAATAAATATGTATTGCCATTTTCTGTACTTGTAGTTGAGAAAACTACCTGTACTAGAAAGATACACTGAATTAAATTGTGCTCCTACTCAGTGGAAGAATTACAAATAAGAAAAACTATTTTTGACTTCCAAGGTTTGGCTTACTCTACAAATCAAATATGTTAGAAATGTAATCACTCAGATCCTGGTTCCCAATCAAGGGTTACACTTCACTTTGTGGAAATGTTCAGATAATTTCTTTCTTGCTAAACGTCAGTTCTTCCACCAATTAAATCAGGAGATTGGCCTAAATGATTCCATCATCTAGATAGCATGGGCAACATTTTGGTTTGGTTTCAAATGAATGTGGTTTTCACCCTGCCTTTGAAGAGCAGTCAGGACTTGGGCAATTTCTAAACAGCTTTGGGTCATGGTTTCCTCATCAGTAAAGTGGAGACAATAAAATTATCTTAAAGGTATGTGTGGAAAATTCTAATACAGAATAGTGCCTTCTTATTAAACATTTACCTCCCACCACCTCTCCATCCCTCCTACCTGATCAAGAATGTCTATAGGATTGGGAGAAAAAATCCCTTTTATCATTAGATCTTTACATTTGCAGCAAAGCAGAGGCAAGAATAGTCTATTTGGTAACAAAGCGCTCAGAGTCTTTACATGAGGCTATTTACTAAAATAGTAAATGTTATACCTTCTAATACTGACTCTATGTGTAGACAAAGGAGTTAAAGATTATTTCCATAGGCATGGTGGTGTCACTTTTCATGAATGTAAATACAAAAATTTACAAATATGATTAATTTCCTTGAATACAGCAGATTGTTTGGTATGCTTTTTACAAAAGGAGACCAATATGATATAATATATACAGAAATAGAGGGAGCATTTGTACTTACTGACACCTTTCTTTTAAGAATGTAACTCCTCCACCCTATGCCATAAGCAGATGCAGGGCAATGAGAAGATGATCAACTAATGCTAGAGAGCAGAGTTTCTTTTTGCAGATGGTACACACAGTTTTGTGTTTTGGTTTTTTTTTTTAAGTAATGTTGTATTACACTGTCACAAATCAACTTCTAATTAGGTTTCACACAATTATGCTCATGTCCTACAGTCTTATGTCAAACTCTGGTTGCAAAAATACTTGAATAAAAAGATTCATGAATATGTCTTTGAAGAAAATGAATGCTGATTGCATTTTAAATATTTAGCATAGGAAATTCAAACATTTTTATTAAAACTAACTGAAATCATTATACAAAGGCTGTAAGTTTAGAATCTTTTGGGGGAGGGTCAAGCATGACAATTGGATTTAACTGTATTCAAAGGGTTTTTTATTTTCTGAAAAAATATAAAATTTCATATCTTACACTACAAAAACATATACACAAACCAAATGCACAGAGAGCTTCAAATGGGGGAAAAAATACAGAAACACTAATCCTTTCTTGAATTAATGCTTCGGCACAGATTTGAGATATCCTGATGCCTAGCCTAGAATAAGATACTCTATACAGCTGCTTCTAAGAGAATTTAATAAACATATTAACAAATGACTGAGTCTAAGTTTTATTCTCAGACTATTATAAATGAAATTTACACACTGTAAAATTATTAAATGCAAAACTATAGCAATCTAAAGATTCACAAATATGTTGACCACTAAAATCTCTACTGTTAATATAGCCCAGACTGAATAAACATGATTTATTTTGCCACCTTCAATTTTTTTCATTTACATTTAGAAGAAACAAATGACATTTGATTCTGATTATAATAAATAGATTCTCTCTCTCTCTCTTTTTTTAAGAATTGTGTCTTCTCCTAAGCAATAATTTTGTGGTCATTCTGAATAAGAACATTCAATCATTTATGTATAAAAAGATGTTTTTATAAACCAACATGAAAAGAAAGTTCTTATCTATTTCTCCTTTGATACATTACTATATAATTAACAGAATAATAGAGAAAAATATTCAATGTAACCAGCTGTGCTACAGAGTTGAAAAAATGATGACTTATTCTAGTTATTAATTTCAAATAAAACTAGCATTCTGATTGTTTATTCATCATCATCATCATCATATTGTACCTACTTTTTATTTATTTTGAGTTTAAACATCTGGCAGGACATAAGCAAACACAGTTTACTATCATATTTAGCTTTTTGTCTTCTTATTTTTAGAAAGAAAAAAAAGTGGGAAAAAGACCTTATCCTACTATGCAACATCATACATCTAGTAAATTTCTAATATCTGACACAAATTTGCCATCCAACGCACCATTACAAACAAAAATGTCTTCCACAGGTGAATTTTTCTACTTGTGCTTCTGCAAGCCCACTTTAAATGGGAGAAATAATGGTGTTAAAAAAAATCTTTGACTTTCACATAGAGATTAAATAGCAGACATGCAAACACATAAGTGTTCAACAGATATTAATTTTTCATTTTAAACCTAAGATGTGAAACTATCTCTTCACCATTGCACACTGGTTAAAATTCTTTACAAACTCAGTGAAGGATGTTCTGTATTGTTTTCACAACTCTGAAACTAATAATGCTGGCCACATTTAAGTTTAGATAGAGTATTGGAATATAATTTTTACAGTAATCCTACAACTTTAGAACACTGATTTGGTGATTAAAAGAGAAGAAATAAAAAACCATGCACATTTTTTTTTACATGGGAAAAGCAAAATCTTTACATTTTTACATACAATTCAGATATTTCAACGGCCAAGAAGAACATGTGAGCAAATGGGAAGATTAGGAAACAAATTATGATTGGTAAAAGTAGTAACTGAGTGACTTCCACAGGTATCAGTAAGTTGAAAAAAACTCCCTGCTTGTTCCTATTTTCCAAGTTCAACATTGAGAACGACTCATGCTTTAAAGGTATTGCTACTTGATAGTTACAATAACATTATGTATTATTTGACAAATCTATCTTATGTGCTAAAATTATTGAATCTATGTTTTATTTTTAGTTGTCTGGTGGGTGACAAAATGAACCAAAAGGATAAGAAATCACACAATCAAGATTTGTCAAACCTCACCCTGGGTTACTGCCTCCCTGCATTTCACAAGAGCTGCCTCCTCTCCTGGTTCCACTTCTCACATTTATAGATGAGATTGGCACTTCCCAATTGGTGACATATCCAGTGGTGAATAAATATTTTAGAAAGGAATTCTTTCCTCTTTTTTTTTTTATGTGGGGGGAGAGCAGATCTTATTTGAAAATCTCTTTATTTCTTTTAAAATCATATTGCCATGCCTTAGAAATTCTCAACCAAAGTGAGATGTAGATGAAATCGATGTGTCTAACTTTCAACTCAATTTACTTTCCCAAAGGAATACCAGAATTGCAAAGGAATCGATCCATATTAATTTATACTGTTCTTTTGTGAAAAGAGGAAATCTACATTGTAACTTTAAATTCTAATCACTTAGATATACTCTGTGCTGACATCTCAATCATTTTTGAACATATAACTTTTAGAAGACATTCAGAAAATATCTTTGTTATGTGTAAGTAATTGTGGCTAGTCCTAACATTTATGATAGTTTGTATTTTAAATCAATATGTCTATTCCTGCTTTGAAGGTTCTCAACTGTTTTTTGTTTGTTTGTTTTTTAAAGATTTTATTTATTTATTTGACAGAGAGAGGTAGAGGCACAGCGAGAGAGGGAACACAAGCAGGGGGAGTAGGAAAGAGAGAAGCAGGCTTCCCACCGAGCAGGGAGCCCGATGCGGGGCTCGATCCCAGGACCCTGAGATCATGACCGGAGCTGAAGGCAGTCGCTTAACCAACTGAGCCACCCAGGTGCCCCGAAGGTTCTCAACTGTTACTTTATGACTTAAATTCAGTTCTTTTTACGGAATTCAGTAAAGTGCAACATGTCTCCAATTATTTTGTACAGAAAGAATTAGTTCAGTTCATTTTGTTTCTTGAAATGAACAAAGGCATCTTTCATAATGGTGATGCCCACTTGTGATTTTATCAAGACAATGCTAAATCCACCTTTTTCTACTTTCTCTGCAAATTTCATTTATCTATTAAGGTATACTTGAAGTGTATTTTGTTAGGACCCATGGTATAGTATAAATCTAATAAGTAATTATAGCCATAATTGGGCCGAACTAAATATACCATCTGAGAATTGTTTAGAACCTTTGCTTTTTCCTTTTTCTTTTTTTTTTTTTTTTGCCATGTTCTTTAGCAGAGTTAACTTACTGCTTAAGTAAAAGGTGGGCAAGGTAGAAAAAAGTTATTCCTTAAAGGTTTATTCTTGTATGTGCTCATATTCAACTAAAACAAGTGCTTGGAAAAGACAGAATATCATTACTATCATGCAGGTATATTTTCTATGGATTTCATTAATCCAGACTACTCCAATATACTATTGCCCTTGATAACATAAATAGGCTATATTTTGTGCAAATGCAATACTCCTTGAATAATCACATGTCATCCCATGGTTTCTATAAAATGTAATACTATAAAAATTTTGTTATTTCACCAAGGAGCTCAGTTTTGTTCAAATTCTAATAAACCATATAATTTATAACACAAATGTCTGTCTTCACCAAGTGTGGTACATAGAATGTACATAGAACATATCTTATATTCCTTAATAAGGCCAACTAAATAATACTTTGGACTGGTTTATCAAAATAAGTTCAATTTGATGAAACTGAATACAAGAAGAAATTACCAAATGAATAAACAGCCATCAACAGGTAAAACTTGTTAAGTTTTGAAACAAAGACAATTCTGAAGGAAATATATATATAAATATAATATGTATATTTATATATATATTTCATCATTCCATTGCTGCCTTAGTATCAAAATTTCTAGAGCTGAACCACAAGGGAAATTGTTACAAAGGATTAACACTTAGGGGTAATGCTTAGTGCTATGTGCCTGGATTTAACAACATTAACAGAAGCCTGCACAGTTAAATCCTTCTATATCCTGCTGAAAATGTGCCCTTCGGTGTCAACTTTGCTTGACAAGATATTTTCTGGGACTCAGAAAGGTGAAACTTCTTACAGGGGTGCAAGATTAATGGCTAGAAGAACTGCATTATCACAGATATCACAAAGTGTTTTCAAAAAGCCAAAGGGGATTTAATCTTATAGACATTTTCTGTTAGTGAATAAAGAGATTTAGTAGCTTTTGGACACATGAGAGGAAGAAAGACACAAGCTTGTGTTAAATTTTCATTTTACTGCTTCCCTACTTCTCCTATTTATATTACACTGTGGAACACTTGTTCCTGTATGTTGCTAAAATTAAAACACTATTAAAAATGCAAGCAGAATGATAATGCACACATGTGCAAGCATCACACACAAAACTCCAACTTAGACTGATTCCTGGGTATATAGCAAATTATACAGTATATACACATTTATTACCTAATAGTTTCTAGAAGAGCAACTAAAAGTAAATTTTATAACACAGAAAAATAAATATGCACCCTGTATTGTACTTGTCCTTGATCAAGCAACATATTTATACACTAGAGTCTATAACTTAGACTGTGTAACAGCATTTTAAATTACAAAAGAAGGTATCTGTTAAGAAATTACCTAATCATATTGCTCTTCAATACACTTATGTAGACATTTAAGACTTGAAGTAAACTTCAGTAAATTGCAGCTTCTGTTAGCCCACAAATGGCTATAAACTTTTCCTTTCAAGTAGATTCTTGGAAGTTTTGAAAGGGGCTGCCTTAATTCAGTCTGTAAAGGTGCTATATATAGTTATAATTTTCATTTATAAAATTTTGTAGAAGTAGTGGAAAGGATTTTCTTGTTGCAACGTAAGATAATGTTTAACCTCAGGTTTTTATTCCATGCAGGTTATATTTGCTTCATGAAAAATGAAGACACTGAGGAAGATAAGGAGATTTTAGCAAAACACTGATTACAAATTCTGTGGCTGAAACAAATGCTCTCCTAAGGTTTAGAAATCACTGAGTGTTCCCTTCCCCCTCCCCCATATTTTTTTTTTTGTTGTTGTTGTTAAAATAAATCTCAGGGCTTGTTTACAAAGTGCAGAATCATTCACTTGATGAAGTGACATTGAAATGAAGTTACAATGGCACCATCCCATTTACCAGCTGCACCTTCATTTCTTGAAGGCTGTTCATGATCTTCTTCTGGTGACCGACAAGAGTCACTCCAAGCCGTCTCAAATCCCTGCATGAAGAAAGCACACATTGGATGTATGTATTGATTCAATTGGTAGCACACCTCAATATTTCACGCTGGCAAAGACACAAACATTTTGCAGAAACTAATTAGATTACAGTCCCAATTTAGACATATGGGGTCCAATTTTCAAAGGCAGGCTCCCAAATTGTACCTTGAAAATCTGTTTGCAGTCAAACATTTAACTTATAATAATAAGGGGTGCTATAATGTATATTTGCCCCCCTTTTTAGGCTTCATTATTTTGGTGGCACAGAGTGGTGGAAAAAAAATTTGCACATGCTTACCAATAACATATTTAAATTAAAGGTACAATTTCATTGAACAATTTTGAAAATATGGACCTACAATAGGAACAACAATTTTTTTTTCTTTTTTTGCTAAAAGAAGCATAAAATATACTTTTAAAATTTTAGTTAAGCAGCTGAAGACCAAAATCTTCAAAGGACTCAGTCAGTACAATCATTTTATACAACAGATATCTTTACGGGATAATTTTCACTACATTGCTCTTACAACACTTTCAAATATTTTATTTTTTACTTGGAACCCAAAGTACCAGAGCTTTCTTCCTTTACCAAATAATATCTAGGCTCTTGAGGCATTTAGAGCATTCTGAAGATTACACACTCTCAGAAAGTCTTTTCAACCAAGATATATTTCTACTGTTTCTTTTGAACAAGCTTATTATTCAAAAGAAAATTATAAATGTTTAGATTTCTAAACTAACAGCATATTATAGAGCTCAAAGTCAAAATCCATTGTTCTTAATTGTTATTTCATAGGATATTCGGAAATTCCATACTCCTAGAATATATATTTGGCAAATAAAATTATTCAGGTATGTTTGGCAAGTGATAACATTAATTATAGGAAAAATAACAAATCAAGATTTTTAAGTGACAAAACTGTTTGCCGTGTTAGATTCTTTAGATAATTACTTTATTGAATACATTATACTCAAAGGATATTTTTGCATTCAGAGTATCTGAGAATTCTTTAGAATTGGATACAATGACATTAGAATCATTATATGTCAAATTCGATAGCTTTGGAAACATGTAAATCTCAAGAGAGTATCAGAGAATAGAAATTTTAAAAATGTATACTTAGGTTCTATATATATTAGCATTGGAAATAATTGCTTATTTAAATAATATCTTAGGTTTCCTTTTCCTTTTATGTTTTCTTGATTTTTTAGGGGAGTTTTAGCAAATGGCAAGTAGCTAAAAAAAGAAGCAATTTATACTTAGGGTGGAAACATAGTTCTTTCTTTCTTAGAATGTGAATATTAAACATTAGAGGGTATTAAAACTACAAGACACCAGAGTACAAAATAATCTATATCTATATCTATATCTATCTATCAATCGATCTATAAGGTAGTCATGGAAGATAATCATCAGCAAAAATTAAAAGAAAACAGTAAAAATTCATTTTGAAACAAAATGACTACTGTTAGTTATGCAATAGACTATAAAATAGCTAGTTGCTGACTAGCATCGGGATAAAAGAAGCTTGAGTTCAATTTTTTTTTTCTCTTTTCTACTACATTACAGTTTCTTAGCTTTGCCCCTGTTCACATTATGGGCTGGATAAATCTTTGTTGTAGGGGCTACTCTGTGCATTATAGAATATCTAACAGCATCCCTGGCCTCTACCCACCAAATACCAGAAGCATGGCACCACAGTTGACCCTTTGTTGTGACAAGACAAAATGTTTGCCATATGTCCCCTGAATAGCAAAATCTCCCTCAGTTGACAAACATTGCACTAATATAAAAATAATAGGTGAAAATTAAGATTTCCTCTTCCTATCTGCTAGGAAAATACATAAGTCTATGACATAGATTTTTGTTAATCATTCATGGATGAGAAAATGAAGAAGAAAATTTAGAAAATGAAGAAAATTTAGAGAATTTAAATCACTTGGTTAGATAACACAGCTAGTGGGTAGCAGGGTTAATACTAAACCAGGAACCTGATGTCAAAGTCCATACTCTCAATTTCTCATTACTCTGAGATATGATTTTGAGCAAAGTACTTCAAATTACATACAATTATTTATTCATCTGTAAAATGAGAATTCTGTAGTGATAACATCAAATATCAAAAATTCTAAAAGAAGGAAGATATTTAATGGTGGAAACGAACACATACTTCTTTGAAGCTATGGTAACCCAATCTATACTTCATAGCAATTTCAGTTATGAGCTAATTAATATTCTCATGTTTCTACAATTTATGAATCATGAAGAACTGCATAGATGTGGGTATTCATGTGTGCTCACTAGCATACTTTGGACCTAAGTCAGGTGATAGGGACTAAAATTTCTTAACCTGAAAATAATCATTCTCAGCTAGAGAATTTAAATAATTAGTAATTAAAACGAAGTTTTAAAACAGATGTTTTATCATATGCTTTATAAACCCAGAATCCAAGTTCGAAAGTCCTAATGTTATATATATGTACTTGAATTGCACAATCATATGACTAATCCAATTATTAGGAATGAGCTTTTGAAAATAATCATTACAACTTATTCTGAAAGACCTGAGAAAGAAATTATAGGTTTCTCACTGAAACAGCATGGATTTTGAATACACAATACCAAAACCTTAATTTGAAGTGTGTGCATGTGTGTGTGTGTTTGGTGGGGGGTGTGGGGTGTGTGTGTGCCTGCATGTGCTACACATTAGAACACTTGGTTGTCTCACTGATATTAAACCACTGGTTTAACTTATTTTTATTTCCACTGTTTTAACTTGTTGTTATAGTATATGTAAATATGACTTCATTCTCTCAAAATATCTTGACCACAAGAAAGACTGGTTCAGTGCTTTGGAAATTTAAATTTTTTAATGACATCTATGTCATGTTAAAGAACAGATGTTTTGAGGAGTTGTATTTGATTAGTAAATGCAGTTATAGAGCTTGTGTTTACAGGCAAATAAAATCTTTCTTTCTTCCGAACATTCCATATATCTAGATTTTAAGTTAAATTTGTTGAAATTTTCCCAGTCAAATATAAGATTTTATTTCACTGTCAACTTATGATCTGATTGTCCCCTAAGATGCACATGGAAGGTCAGACTATGGAAATTCTCTCTCCGTCCATCCCACCTCCTCCCCATCCCTCTTTCCATGGAAGAAATGGAGTTATAAAAACACAGCATCGCATTTTATATTTTGCCATAAATTATGTGTGTTTTTAATGGAATGCTGATGTTTTTTAAAATCTGACTTGTCATTTCAAAAGCTGTCAAATTAATGTGCAGAGATTTAGAAAATAGCATGATTATAATGCATACAATGTACATATACCTTTATGCAATGTGATTTTCAGTGAAAAGGTTACAGAGAAATAAGATCATTTCTGCAAGTTAAAATTGTTCTCAGCAGCAAAGAAGTTTCCTAAAAAATCCTGTTTAATATTTTTCTAATTATATTACAAATGACAATTAAAATAGTATCAGAAAAACATTTCTAGAAAAGGTTAAATAATTTTATTCCAATATTGATAAATGCATTAAAGTATTTTAAGTAGCTTGTCTTATACTTTAATGATTTCTAAGAATTGCCATTTTACTCTTTAAAGTATATATTAAATTGTCAACTTAGCAGTAATAAAGTGAGAGAAATTTGATAAAAATTAAAGTATTTTATATTTAATGATGAAGTTACTGCTCTACTTACAAAAAATTTTTCAAAATGATGCAAGATATGCTGTTTACTCTTTTTATTTTTCTATATAGGAAATTTTATAGCTAGGTAAAATTTTAAATTTATCCCCTTTATAAATATTATACTTAATGTATCATGACCATGTGTAATCTTAAGTAATACCCAAAGCCAATTCTAATGATGATGAACTATATTTCAACAGAGGCTTATGAATTTAAACATGATAAGAAGAGTATTTTTACACAAAAATAACTTGGCTTTTGTCAACAAAGCACGGTTAGTTTTAGAAAAGCTGCGAATATAATGAATTGCCATTGATGTAATTACATTTCAGCATATTTTCAAATGTTACTCCATAACATTAAACAATGGAAAACAGTGATATTATGATACTAAAATGGCAGAATGAAAAATAGGGAATAACAAGAGGTGTCTAGTTGATGTTGGAGCAATTCTTGATTATTCAGGATTTAGTTCATCCGTTTGTGGATAAGTCATTCCCTCACTTCTTCTCCCTTCTGCTTTACACACTTTTTAGCCATATCACCGGTATTTACTCTACCAACACTGGCTGGATAGGAGAAGGGAGAAGAGAGATTAATAAATATTCATTAAGTTTCAGTGTGTATATTTTTGTCATAATTTGATCATGCATTTGTAGGTTTGAAATTTTTTGGTTCCTTTAGAAGAACCCTGACAATCATTTATAGATCTACTGCACAAGATAAATATATCTACATTTGGCAAAGATTAACCATGATTGGTCATGGTTTTCAGTGAGTGAGACATAGTGAGACTATGAACTAGACTAGAAACGTTAGCTTAATTATGTAGAATGCAGACGAGAGTAAGTACTCCTGTGTGTATTTTAGGTATATAGTAAATTATGCATAATGTCTTTATTGATACGTTAAGAAATCTACTTGAATTAGCGTGCATACATTTTAGCCCTAGATTTGTAAAACTTCCATTTTAGTAGTTTAAGACCCCATTTTAAATAATGATACTAACATAAATCTCTTCAGCTTACACACAATTGGCAAAATATTTAAATTCATTGGATTTCACTCATCTTCTGAATAATCAAAAGTTGACAGTACTGGTCTAACAATAAGTTTAAAAAGCAGTTGTAATACTGTCCTTATTACAGATCTTTGGATTCAATTTGCAACTCACCGCAAGCTTACAATTTCCCCTGTCAACCACAACTCACTGCATTTACACACCATAGTACAGATTACTGCCATAATTGTTCTGTGTATTGTACACAGAATAGCAAGGTTTAGGTACAGAGAATGGCAGACAGAAACACTTAAGTTTGAAAACCATATTGCTGAACACATTTTAACTCTTAGATTAAGTTTTTCATTTCCTTTCCACATTAAGCCATATATACATGTGCTGGCAAAAAAAAAAAAAAAGAGGGGGAGAAAAAGAAAGAAAGAAGAAAGAAAGAAAAGAAAAAAAGAAGGAAAGAAGGAAGGAAGGAAAGGAAGAAAGAAAAGAAGAAAGAAAGAGGAAATCACAAACAAAATTAAACCTATATGAAGGAAAATTTTTATCAAAGTATGCGGTTCTGAAAAATTGTAATATTTTTTATTCCTTTTTCTAAGCCCACTATGAGAACAAATTTGAAGGCATAAATTCTAACATAATATTCTAGTTAAAGTATATGGCAATTTGATCTCTTGCCTTTTAGTAATTGATCCTATCTTTTTCCCCCACCTAAGCATTTATCACAGGTATATTTCCAGTTCTCAGTTTCTATTATGCCTTGGCAATAACACTGATAATAATATTTTATTATTTTATTATAGCATTATGTAGGCTCCATAAAATTAGTATTTAGATATTGGGTAAAGACCATGTGTAAAAAATCATTATTTAAATGTTTAAGAGCTTGTCTTTGTCTTTGCTCATATCCCAGCTCCTTTGCCATGTGTCTTTAATAATTTTTTTGGTTAAAGGCAAGGAAAATGCTAGATAACCTTTTTCTTATATTCCTGACCAAACAAGTAACTGATTACTCACTGTTCTGTGAGTTATTTAAATGATATTTTGATATATTCTTATAAAATCGGAAAAATGTGGTAAAAAGAACAATAAACAGGAGGACATGTATTTAAAGGTGCTGGAAATCAACTTCACTGGATTTGAGATTTGCTGGCTCAGTTCCTAGTAAGGAATGGGTAATTATCTGCCCAGAAATCTGAAGCAACTGACGCATGGAGACCAACATCTCTGAACATGAAGATGTTAACGAGTCTCCTAATTTCACTTTACTCTTCTGGTTAAGGTAAATATCAAAGTATCTGAAAGGACGCAATATGGCAAGAGGCAACAGGATACCAAAGTAATAGAGACAAAGAGAAAAAGCTGAACCAAGTAGAGAAAAACTGATCAGACAAGTCTACTAGAGAATAGAAATGGGGTGGAGAACCATAATTAGAAGATGGTAGAAGGCTATTAAGTCTTGAAAGAAAACATACAAAACAAAGAGTTTGGGAAGAGAGGAGTCGACAAGTAAGTCAAGAAAAAATAATTAAAAGCAATAAAAAATGAAACGCTAAAATACGTTAAAATATTCAACGTTTGGGGCCCCAAAGAGATAAAGTAAAAGAGAGGTAGTAATGCAAAAACCATTATATGTGATTAAAATTATTCTGTGAGGGGAGAGGCAAAAAGATAGTGGATGATTATATATATATATATATACATATATATGTATATGTGCTATTTTAATAAAAAAAGAGACACCACTTAATGCAAATAATTTTATTATATATTTACAAGTAATCTGACATTGGGTAGAAGAAATACCTACAGTATCATTTTAATATAAAATGACAAATGACTTTAATAAATTAAAATGACCATTTTTACTGAAAAATTAAATAGCAATCATGTAAAAATAGTTTTAAATTATCAGCAACATTTTCTGTTTACTATTTTAAATATAGCACAAATGAGTTCTTTGAGCATCCAAAGAAATAATGGGCAAAGCATATGTGTCATCAAATAGATATAATTTGGAGGTGATGGTAAGGATGAGATTCAGCAAATTGAGAGAGCATGCTGAGTAGTGAGTTTAGGTCCAGTAGTTACAGATATGAGGAAGAGAAAGGCTGAGAATGTGACATTATCTGGTGACGAATGATGGTACCCTGTTACCATTTGTGTGGATGGGCAGTGAATTCAATGAAGCAAAGAATGTCAGACTAGAAATGGTGAGAGACAACTGCTCAATGTTCATATTATGAGAAGTAATGGAATAAGGATCGTGGTTTAGTGCTTTAGGATGTTCTACCATGTTCTAATCCTCACACCAATATTTTAACCTTTGAATTTATAGGTAATTTAAAGTAAGTTATTATTATATTCACAGGTTAAAACATTATTCATGTTCATGTAAGCTAGATGGAACCACCATAACAACAGTTAATTTTCACAAATAACAAATATTAGGCTAAAATAATTACACATACAGAGTATATAATAAAATACAAACAACTTACAACCTTAAAGAATTTAATATTTAACTCTAGTGGATTTTATTTAATAAGATTTGATAAACGTTATCTTAAACATGCAAACAGAAAAGGGCACAATTGGTTTCACTGAGATTGTACCAAATAACAAATCAGAGGCAGAATCTAATATATCCTTGTATTGCAAGAATATAAGGTGCACCAGTTAGAGGTTAAATGAGATTCCTGCCTGGGAAGCTTTGTTTAAGCTGTTGCTGCCCGGGTATTCATTATAGCCAAAATTTAAGAATGTGTTTTGTCATTATGTAGGACTAGCCACACCAATTGTGCTTACAGTTTGTTTTGTAATTACATTCATATAACATAGGTACCAGTATAAAAACTTTGTCAAGAAAACATCTTTTCCACAACACAAAATGCCAGTATTTTAGCAAGGAACTGTTACTCCAATTATTCCAATATTCAAGTGCTGTTTGTTTGAAGCAAAGAAGCAACGATACTGGCCACAAGTAGCATTAACCATGCAGTCGTTAACAGTATGGGCTAAAAAAGAAGAGGCTTCTTTGAAAGCTGTCACACATGGACAAAGGTTAACTGATTTCCCTTGACCTCATCCAGATTGGATTCCAAACAATTTTTCTCGCCCCAGCAATTATGTAAAAATTATCAGAAAAATTACTCACTCCAAGGTCACCTGAGCCACAGCGTCCATTGAACTGTATCCATTTTCCATGAAAATCTCTGTATACCGGCCCATTTTGATTGCTTCTAGCCATTCACCTACTGATCTGTAGGCCCCAGATCCCGGTGGGCCATGTTCTGCCAACAAATTAGATACCCTAAAACACAGAGAATAGCAATATTACGAGTAACACTTTAACTCTTTTATAACAAATTGTAATGTTAGCACACAATCAGTGGATTTTCTGGTTTATATTTATAAGGGAAATATATACTAATACTAACATGGAAGAAAGTTATTCAAAATATAGAACACAAAATTCAGATTTTTTTCTACACATAGTCAATGAAAACTTATAATGGCTTAATAAATAATCTTATTATTTAATAAGTAATAATCTGTGATATGAAACATTAGCTAAAAATTCCATGTGGTGATTTAGATGAATTTACTTCCTACTATTGTTTTTTGTTTGTAAAAATAATAGAGGAAATGCTACCAAGATTAGATATGAAGACCAATTTGTGCAAAGGCAGTTGCTCCTAGACTTTGCTAGAGAAACTCAAGCACATTTAAGCTAATTTCCCAGGAAGTTAAGAAGTTATTTATCCTTTATTTTATGCTCTTACATAAGCGTATTTGTTAATTTACCCCAGGAGTAATAGAACTTGGAAAACAAAATGTCACCCCAAATACATGAGAAAACAGAATAGGATCAATCAACCCATGAGATGCTCTTAACTGTACTAAACTCATAGTTTTGGCCAATAATAATAATGATATGATGATGAGAACTATTTCTGGAAATGTATCCTAAGGAAATAATGAGGAAAATGACAAAGAGTACTTGTACAATTTTTTGTAAGTGGGAATAAACATTAAATCAATTTAAATGTCCATCAGTGGGGGGTTTGCCTAAGTAAGTTTCAACCATAAGATATAGGACAAATACCTTTCTACTCATGGTCTCTGCACTTTCTCACACTCCATTTACACTTCAACCTACTCCAGTGTATTTTCTTCCAAATCAATTGCATAAAAATTGCTCTCATTGAGTTGAGCAATGATTTCTATTTTGCCAAAATCGGTGGACATTTCCAATCTTTAAAATGATTGACTTCTCAGAAATTTTCAACATCCACCACTACCACCTCCCTTTTGGAATCCTACCTTGTCTCAACCTTTTTTGAATAATTCTCTCTCTTCCTTGGCTACTATGATATTGAATATTCCTTGACTTCTCTTCAATCTCCTTTTGCCTGCTACTCCTCCTGACTTTAAAATTTGGAGGGACCTAGGACTTGGCCCTATATCTTCTCTGTTCAGGCCAGAATTCCATTATAGGCAATTTTACCCACTTTTATGCTTCAAGTAGCATCTATTTTCCTCCAATTTTTACCTCCAGCCTAGGTTTCTCATATATTCATACAGCTACTTCACACCTCCATATTTCTCATAGGAATATCACCTCAACATGTCTGAAACCACACTTCTCATCTTTTTCACATCCAATTCCTCCTGAAGTCCTCCCTACTCCAGGATATGATCCAACAGTTCACTCCTTCCTTGTCCTCAATCCCCTCACAATCTATCATTGTGTGTACTCTCCATTTTACCTCCAATATATTGCACATCTGACCACTCTTCTCTATCTCATTTATTGCCACTTTAGTGCAAGACATCATCATGTCTTACCTGCACAACTAGTCTAGCCTCTGAGTTATCCTCCTAAGTTCTATTCTTACTCTCTACTGCAAAACCAAAGTTGTTTTTTAATGTTTTTATTTTGTTCAATATCTCTCTCCTCCAGTAGTGTGTTGCTCAAAGCTGTATAATCAGCACCTAGCCCATAGCATGACACAATGTGGACACATGACTATCTGGATGAATAAGTGGATTCCTTGTAACTGGTAGCCTTTAAGCAGTGGTAGTCAAAGATTTGATGAAGATAGAAATATAGGAAGAAATATTTGGAGAGTAGGATCTTGAAGTTGAAATTACGGAAGAGTTGCCAATTTTAGGTAATAACAAATTCTAGAACATGACTATGAGAAGGAGAGTTCAAGGTAGGACAGAGACCAAAATCATTGAAGAAGAATATTTCAATGTACTGAGAGATATTCAAACATCTTCTACATGGTTACTGAAATCACCAAGTTTTGTGACATGGCTGGGAATAAAGGAAAAGACAATGATCAGGGACTAACACCTTTTGGAATTAAGATTTGTAGATGCCTGAAAAAAGATGGCTAGTGAGTGGTACAGTCTTAAGCCAAATCTCTTTAAATGAAGGGGCACCTGGGAGGCTCAGTCAGTTAAGCAGCTGCCTTCAGCTCAGGTCATTATCCTGGGGTCCTGGGATAGAGCCCCACAACCGGCTCCCTGCTCAGCGGAGAGCCTGCTTCTCC